TACCTCTGCCTTTTCATGAGACCTTTTGTGTCTGGTATCTAGCTTGGTATGAATATGAACATTTTTTTTTCTCGGTGTTTGGAAAGTTGCTCACAAGTCAAAGAGACTCCTTAATGTCTCATAACCCAGAGTGGCCTAGGTTAATGTTTCAGAGTTAGGGTCTTAGTTGAGTAGCCCTGTGATCTCTGGAAATTTTTGAAGCACTTACTGGAAGCCAATTGGATGTGTAAGACATTTGGGGCAGACCACAGAAGGGAAATGGCTGTTTGATCTTATACACACATGCTTAAATACCAAATGCTGGATATTGCTATCCTTATATCCCTGAGTCCTTTGGGAGTAGGGCGGTATACAAATTCAATAAATAACAATAACAACAACAACAACAACAACAACAACAACAACAACAACAATAATAATAATAATAATATGTTATAGAATTTGATGTACTCTGAATTTTCCATTTCAAAACATTCAATGTTTCACAGGGAGAATGGAAACCTCGTCAAATAGACAACCCCAACTACAAAGGGAAATGGATTCATCCCGAGATAGATAATCCTGAATATACCCCTGATCCAAATCTGTACTTTTATGAGAACTTTGGTGTTATTGGTTTGGACTTGTGGCAGGTAAGTTCTTGCTTGTTTTCCAATAAATCTTTTAAAAAGGGGGAAGCCAAATGACTCCAGTAGCTGTTCTGATGATTGAGGATTGTATCTTATAAAAACTACAAATTATATTTCTATTATTAGCGGTTATATGAGATCAACATTTACTGATAGCCTTACATTGCAATGAACAAGGATATACATTCAATTTACAGCTACTAAGATTTTTAAAAAAAAATTTTTTTTTTTAAATTTAAATTTTGATTTATATGCCGCCCTTCTCCGGAGACTCAGGGTGGCTTACAATGTGCTAAGCAATAGCACATTGTAAGATTGATGGCTGAGCAGGGACAAAAATAGCCAGAGAAATGATTGAAGTCTGCTCATTGTCAGTCAATAGAAATGCTGATTTACCAAAAGCTTACCAGATACTTAAGGAGCGGAGCTAGTTGTCAATGCCCTAATTAACAACTAAAAGCCACATGCAATCAGGCATTATATAAATACAGCCAGCAGAACAGCCCAGAGCACACATTCAGGAGAGAGAAATTTCCTGAGCACGGGCTCCAGCACAAGCCTGAAAGCTTGAAAGAATAAACATTTTGTCCTAGTAACTGACTACTACAAATTATTCTGAATTTTTTTTCTAGTTCCTATATTATTCTGGGAGACTTAAGATATTTTAAGATGTTATTCTAAAGAAGAAAATTAATGTAAAATACAACAAAAGTACGTTTGAAACTTCAGTACATTAAACAACAAATCATATATTTCTAAATCTACAATTTGCTATACAGGTAGTCCTTATTTAGTGACTGGCAACCCTTAAAACTGAAAAGTCACTAAATAAAGACTTATTGTAGTTGTACTTGTGAAATAAATATTCCCCTTTAGTCTATATAGGTAGTCCTCAATTTACAACAATTCATTTAATGACCGTTCAGAGTTATGTCACTGAAAAAAGTGACTCATGATTGTTTTCGCATGGCCATTGCAGCATACCGATGGTCACATGATCAAAATTCAAGTGCTTGGCAACTGCCATCAGAAGCACTTTGAATGGTAGTCAGAAACCAATAGGAATGAATGTTATGCTGACAAATGTCTTGACAAATTGTCAAAAAGAGCCGAGGTGGCGCAGTGGTTAGAGTCCAGTACTGCAGCTACTTCAGCTGACCAAATCTCACCGGCTCAAGATTGACTCAGCCTTCCATCTTTCCGAGGTGGGTAAAATGAGGACCCAGATTGTTAGAGGGCAATATGCTATTTAGTATACTGTCTTTGGTGTAAACCTCCCAGAGTCCTCTGAGAGTGGGCGGCATAGAAATATGACAAATAAATAAATAAATAAAATGTTGATAAGCTTTAGCTATAACATTTAACAGTTCTTTCTTGTGTTTTAGGTGAAATCTGGCACAATTTTTGACAACTTCCTGATCACTGATGATGAGAAGTTTGCTGAAGAAGTTGGCAATGAAACATGGGGTGCTACTAAGGTGGGAAATGTTTCTTCATAGAGAAGAAATAATATTTGGCTTTTATAAAGCTTGGGAAACTTGTACCTTGTTCTCAAATGTTTAAGATTTTGAACTTTGGAAAGGGATGTGAACCATCTAGTGACTTGGCCCAAATCCCATTCCTTGTATGAAAGCACATATGAATGCGGGAGAGACTTGATATTTTAAAGGCTGAGATTAAAGTTCTCATGTTTCTGCAGAAAAGTATTTTGCATTTTGATTAATAGCAAATTACATTTACAAAAAACCTTTTAAAAGCTTTTTTCTATTTGTGAATTGTCCTTGAAATATGTTAGGCACAGCATGGGATATAAGTCTGTAAAAAACGCCATTGTGGACCAGTTTGAGTTCGTGTCCTGTTTGTTCCCACAGCAGCCAGTTACATTTTTCTCCAAATTCTGTCAGATGTCAATCTGTTTGTCTAAACATTGTTTCCCAGCCTTTGCAACTTTGAGATCATTCTCTTAGGATTCTTTGCAATGGCCCAGCCAGTTCTGAGAGTTGAAGTCCACACATTCAAGATTGCAGAAGTTGGAAAGTACTGGTTTAAAATCTCTTTGTGTATTGTCAGGATACTTTTGGCTAAGGAAATGCAATTTTAAGCCTCAGCCAAGCAAGGTAACTTGAGTAACTTGGAGCCAGTTTTTCTCTCGTCCAATCTATCTCACTAAATCCTTATAAAATAAAACAAAAAAATCTTGCCTGGCCCTGTTTGCTGTGATGCTTTCTTCAGCAAGTCCTGATTCAATAATGTATTTCCTTTTAAATCCTCATTAGGATGCTGAAAAGAAAATGAAAGAGCAGCAGGATGAGGAGCAGCGGAAGAAGCAGGAAGAAGAAGATAAGAAGAAGAAAGAAGAGGAAGGAGAAGAGGAACCCGAGGGTGAAGATAATGAAGAGGAAGAAGAGGAGGAGGAAGAGGAAGAAAAGGAAGAGGATGAAGAGGAAACAGAGGGCCCATTGAAGGACGAGCTGTGATTGGGGGTTGTTGGGTATACTTGTTGGTTGAGCCTTGCCCTGGACTTGTACCATGCAGTTGAACCCAACTAAGGAGAGGGGAAAACAGTAATGTCTCTATGAGACACAAGAACTTTCTTTTTTATTGGTGTGTTTGTCTTAACTCCTTCCCAAATATCATCAATTACTCATTCATGTGTGTAGGGGGGGAAACTAGAACCTGCATCAGAAGAAGGCTAATTGTAGGAATACAGCCCTTGGAAAGGGGATTATACCATTGACCCTTCCCCCTCTTTGTGGCCACTTATTCAGTAAAAATTTGCCTCTACTAGCCCTTCTCAATGGATGTAAAAAGCAAAACTCTTGTGTCCATCTAAAGTTTGCCTTTATCCTTTGAAGGTACAGGGGAGTGTTGGGTGGGGCGGTGGGAGGGCTTGGTAGCTCCAGATTTCAAAGACATTAAATTGAGACAACCAGTATTATACCATGTGTAAGGCCAGTGGTATTGATATCGAGAGATCCTGACTCCAGTCAGGGAATAGGCACCGTCCTTTGGTGCCTACTATACAGATTAGGTGCTTCAAAAGCAGAGTGTTCTGAGCAAATTTAATTTTTAATTCTGAATTCTAGCTTTTAGCCTATTTCCTTGGGTGTTGGGTTGTTCAGGGAGCTGTTTGTAGAGCCCCAGCAGGAAGGTAAGAATAGGAATTGGGGTGGGTGTTCACATTTAAAAGGTCTCTCTTCAGGTAGAGAGGAAGGGTGGGAGGGGTTTCTGGAGGTGGAAAGAACAGTATCAGATGGGTCATCCCACTTGTTCACACTTGAATGTATGGAAGATTGAAGAAAATTTCTATTAAATTAAACTTCACGTCTGGCCCATATGCTGATCTTTTGTTGTCTTTATTGCTTGGGGCTAGATGGGAATCGCAGTTTAACAAACATTTTTGGTATTATAATGTATGGTGATACCAAATACTTGGAGACCCAATTCGGTGTGGTGGTTAAGGCATTCGGCTAGAAACTGGGAGATTGTCAGTTCTAATTCTGCTTTAGGCACAAAGCTGGCTGCATAATCTTGGGCCACTTGCTTTCAGCCCTAGGAAGGAGATAACAAACCACTTGAAAGCCTTGCCAAGAAAACTGCAGTCTGAGAAATGGATACAACGGAATGGAAAAATATACAGTAGTATATGACCCTTATAGTAGTTCATATTCTGAGAACAGCTAGATCCTTGTGGAATTTTGAGAATATTGAGTGACCCCTTCAGACTTCTGAGAAGTAAAGCATGGCAAGATGGAAGACATGCTTCTATTAAAGAAGAATATTTGATGAGTGCATTCATTTTCTGTACTTGAACGCAGTCCTCTTGATTTGGTCAGGTCAGTAAACAAAATACCAAGTGGACCCCTTTTTTCCCTCGTGAGATGGCTATCCTCTGGAAATTGGAATGGGATATTGGCAAGCTAGCTGCAAGATTTAATTGCAAATTTGCGGAGAAGTTGACCACAATAGTTTGATATTGCAGTACAGGTAATCTTGTGTATACAAGTAAAAGCTCCGCTTTGAGCAAGAGTCGGAAAGTTTTGGCTACGCAGCAAATTTTAATTCATGTGGTATTCAGGGTCGTCGATTCTGTTAATGTTTGGAAATAAGCCCTGGATCGACTGATTTCTAGCAAAACAAAAAGCCTTTCCCCCAAAACCCGAGCCTGCTCTATCCCCCGCTTCACCAGCTACCGTCCCTCTCCCTCCTAACTAAAGCGTCAGTCGAACGTCGCCGATCCCTCCGGGAGCCCTACGCCTCGGAACGCTAGAGTCCCAAGACAAACCGGAAGCCAAGCAATGGGGAGAAGCGGCCCGTAGCTCCTCTCCGTCTCTATGGTTGAAAGCTTCTTTCCTGTCTCTCATCACGTGGGAATAGTCAGGCTGGGAGCGGAAGCGGCGCGAAGTGCGCGTAAAATGGCGGCGTCGTGAAGTTGCATGTTGTGGGGGGCCTCCGCTGAGTCCGTTGGGAGGAACCGCCAGTTTTCGCCGCAGCCTCCCTCCGCCAACCCTCGCCATGGCGGTGACCGTCACCCTGAAGACTCTGCAGCAGCAGACATTCAAGATCCGGATGGAGCCTGACGAGACGGTGAGGGGCGGCGGGTCTTTGGTCCTCTCCCCTTCCGGCCCTCCTCCCGTCTGTGCGTGGCTTCGCCCCGTTAGGCGTCCTCCCGAAATCATCTTTGAACAAGCGCCTCTTGCTTCTCAGTGAATTTCGCTCCCGGTGTTTCATTTGGGAGGGGATTTATATCGCCCTGCTCTACTTTCCCCGATCTGGAATCTGCCTCTCCTGATGTCACTCTTTTAAAAAGAGAACATCGCAACCAGCCCAGGCATATAAGGAAAAGGTTCCTTTTCTCCCTTTTAATAACTCCTGACACCTCCTCCTCCTCTGTTGTGTTTCTGCTATATTTAACAATCCTGCTTTTTTTCTTCATTTCCTCTTGAAGTCCCACACGGGAACAGCGTGCCGTTGTTCCGGTTTTCATGCGGCTTCCTTCCGCGAAGGAGCCGGATAGCTACACGCTGTTCCCTTATTTCCTTGATATTTAGCCTTCATTTCCAATCCTGAAATGAAATGATATGTTGTCCGCGGGTTATATATACTCATCGTGCTATTCCTTTTTCGGGTTGCGCTGTATTGTGCAAAGTGCCAGGAAACAGTACATACAGTAATAATTAATAACCAAAAGAAATTAAAGGTACAATAAAAAAGTCTAACCGAGATAATTATACTTCTTATCATCCTTATCACCATGCCCATATATTTTCTGTTTTTTAACATTCTCTTTTTTTCACCTCAGAGAAATCCAATCACACCTTTCTTGATATCCCTCTTTCCTAAAGCATTTGTGTTTCTATTCTACTTAGTATGGTCTTGGCCGATGGCATTCCTATTTATCAACTTTTCTTCAATTGTGAAAACATTATTTCAATGAATCCCGTGGCTTTCTTTTCTGACCTTTTTGTTGCAGCATTATAGTGATTTGTCAGATTTAAATCTATTTTAATGAAATAATGTTGAAATGACTCCAGATATTAAAACAATACATATCAGAAAATAATTGAGTCAAGAATCATTATGACTTTTTTTCTACTAAACACAATGCTTTGAGCTACAAAACAATGGTTGAACTGGGCAGGAGTTTGGACTAGATGATCTCTAAGTCCCTTCTAGTCCTTAAACTCAGTGATTATGGAAACATCTGTTGTTGCAAATGAGACTTACATTTATCCAATTTCTAGTTTGGTCTTAATTGTGTCTCTACATTCGAGTTATAAAGTTGTTGTAAAACTTGAATATTCATATTCATACACACACAACATCCTTTTCATTTGGATGCTTTTGCTGTAAGAGCACCTATTTCAGTTCAGAAAGTGCCTTTAATATTAAGCAAAGTTCTCCCTCACCATTTGGAACATAGCTAGCAATTGCTGTTCACTCCAGGAAGAGTGAGAATTGAATGTTTAGTCCTTGCTCACAAGAGTCCTGCCAGTGTAAGGAATTTTAAAAGTTAGAATACATCAGAGAGAATAGGTATATTAGCTCAGAGCTTCCATATTGTCATCTTCACATTTTGCTAGGTTTTTAACAACACCAAGAATGTCCACAGAGTAATTGTTTTTATTTTAAATTTTTGAAAAGAGAAGTCCTCTTTAGAATTTTACATTAGACTTATGTCTGTGTATGTACAGTGTTTCCCCGGAAATAAAACCCTGTCTTATATTTTTTTGAACCTTGAAATAAGCGCTTGGCCTTATTGCCATGCACTCAAAAGCCCGATTGGGCTTATTATCAGGGGATGTCTTATTTTGGGGAAAACAGGGTATATAAGGATTTCTGCACCTTAGTAAACTGATCAGTAAAATTGGAATATGCCCCAAACATTCTACACTACTGTTTAGCCATAGATGCTAATCCCCCTCAATATGGCCCTGAAAGATTTAAAACTGGGAGTTCACACTTTGAGTATATTATCAGAAGAGTACTACTTTAAAACTTTCTTTTAAAGAGTTTTTAAATTCAAGATTGTAATGCTTGGATTATCTATCATTGCACATAGTTTTTCAATTTTGCAGCAGAGAGTGTATTCATGATGAATACTATCGTATTACATTTAATGAACAGCCCTCCATGTCCTTTAGTATCACAGCAAATGAAATTTGTACTCAAGAGTTTAATTGCGAGATAGAATTGTAGTGTGCAACACTTCTCAATATGCCGTTAAGCAATTCAATAACTGGAGGATTTTCCTTTGCGTAAGTGGGAGATGTTTCTATGTAATGACCTGATTAATCTGAAGTAACAGAAATAACTATACACTCTGAATCTATATTTTTTAGTATGTCTCAGAATAATGATGTAATAAAATTTAGTCTTTGTTCCATTTCACAGTACTTAGGTTGTACGAAAAAAATTACCGATCATAATCTGGAGTTTTCTAGATATTTTGGAAATTGATCATGCTTGTTGGAGGTTCCAAGAGTTGGGTCAACACATTTGGAAAAAACCCCAAAAACATTAGGTCAGGTTAAAACTGCTTTGGCCTCATCTTTCATATCTTTGGGATGAATTGGAACAGTGAAGGAAACAATTATTAATATTCCATATAACCTGGAAGGATAATGTAACATAACTATTACTTTTTATTTGTCAGTAGCATTTTCCTGTTTGGAACAAAAACTATTTATTTCTGATATATATTATTGAATTTATATGCTGCCCATCTCATCAGTAAGGCGAGTCTTCACCTTTTCACCTTTTATTGGTTTTCGTGGACAAAATAGTTTGCAGGATCCAATCTGGGTTGATCACTGGGACCAGAGGTTTTGTCTTCCAAGCTTTCAGAGCCCATCTTCAGGGAACCTCTCTCTAGCAGTTCCCTGAAGATGGGTTCTAGCATGAGTCTGAAAGCTTGGAAGACAAAATCTCTGGTCCCGGTGACCAACTCAGAATGGATCCTGCAACATTACCCTGGGACATGTATATTTGCCTTCATTTGTGACAAAATAGTTTCTTTGCCCAGATTATAGAGTGCAATATTTCAACAAATGGAATACTGGTTGTTAGAAGACAGTTCTCAGGTAGTGTATTGCATAAGAAGGAATGAACATCATTTTAAGAGAACAGTACCTAGCCAATGTAACTAGGGCTTTTGGAAGCAAAATAAAAACATTAATTCCAGATATCCTTGTATTTGGTTTGGAGATTGGGAGTGATGGGATTCAAGACAATAGGATTATCTTTCCTAACAATTTATAGAAACCATTGCCATTCCTAATGAATAGGAATGGATTCTCAAAAAGCATTAGTTATAGTGATGTGTCATTTAAAGTTCTTGCACTCAGGCCATTTCTCAGTTTCTACCCCCGAATGCATCACCCACTCTTTGCATTCAGCAGCTTCTCCATGCCACGTTTCTCCATCTGGCACTTGCATCTATAGTTCAACACTGTTGGGATAGAAAGAATTGGCCTTTAAGCATTCAGTACAAGGTGGATGGTGGAGCCAGCTTGGTCTTGACCCACAGGTCCGAGTACTTAAGGAGAAGATTGAGGCTGAAAAGGGCAAGGAAGCTTTCCCCGTGTCAGGCCAGAAGCTTATATATGCTGGCAAGATCCTGAGTGATGATGTCCCCATCAAGGAATACAAGATTGATGAGAAGAACTTCGTAGTGGTGATGGTCACCAAGGTATGGTTGAGCATCTCCTTTGCTTCATGATAATGATTTTCTTGTTTCAAAGGGCTACTGTGTTTCCGCAGTTCCCCTTTGTATGAATAGTGCTAAAATCATTTTTATTAGGAAATGGGGTACTGGTACTAGTCTGTTAGGTACTTCAGGATTGGGGGTGGGTAGTCAAAAGATATTATAGACATTGTTTTCAATACTAATCAGTACATGAAGAGCAGTTTTTTAGGCTCACCCTTCTTCATGATATAGCAATTTAGAGTGGAAGAGCTTCACCTCCTTACCTGAGACGCTCCTTTTGGTTTTCTGTTAAGAACAAAACAGGCTCAGGAGCTCCTGTTTCTTCACCCACTGATGCAGCAGCCACCTCAGAACCCACACCCTCTTCTGGGCCTACGGCAGCTACCGTTTCACCCCTTCAAGCATCCCCATCAAGTGAGGAAAAGCCTCCTGAAGAGTCAGTGACTGTTTCTCCCCTGGAATCTACAGTTGGGTAAGTTTGGCTTATCTTATCATCCCATAACTCTTACTAGATTAGAGTAATTTTAGAATGATTTTTCAGAATGAAAGAATAGCTCTGAAAATTCAGTATTATTTGTACTTCGTATGTTTTGGAAAGCCTCAGTGCTAATTTTTGACTCCTAACCTAATCACTAGGGTTTGCTAGTTTCATCCTATCCCTTTTTAAAAAATGATTAATTGTTGATGACCCCAGTTGTCAAAGGCGGACGTGATCAAAATCTTTACACATAGCAGTAGTTGGATGATTGTTGGTCATAGCTAGGCATACAAGAGAGATTTTATTCAGCCATTCTTTTGCTTAGAATTATTTTTGGATTTTCAACTTTCTTGTCCAGTTATCTGGAAGGACGCAGCTACTATTTCTCTCTCTTAAATTTGCAGCTCTGTTCCCTCTTCAGGTAGCATGGGACGTGAAGATGATGCAGCTTCCACTTTAGGTAGGTGAATACTTTCATTTACCAAGAAAGAAATCAATTTTTAACAGCTTCACTGTAACTAGCTGTTTTGTGATTGGAGCTATGACAGGGGTCCCCAACTCCCAGTCCGTGGACCAATACCGGGCTGCTGCATGCCAGAAATTGGCCGTGCAAACAAGTGAAGCCCCGTCAGTGGGATGCAGGCAGCATGCGAAACCACCCCCCTTCAGTCCACGAAAAATCCTCTCTCCATGGAACCGGTCCCTGGTGGCCAAAAGGTTGGGGGCTACTGGGCTATAGCATCTTCTTTCTCAACTACTACATTCTTACATCAGAGAATCATAGCTAGCTTCTTGAAAGAAAGAATTCAATTTGAATCTACTGCCCTCTGATGGCCATTGCTGGTTAACATCTTTTCCCTTTAGCTCTAAAATGTGTCTTGAGCCACTGTTAACTTTAACACGGGTATTCAACAGAATCTCTGCTCCATTAGATTCATTTTTAAAAAAACTGACATGTTGCAAAACAATCAGCAGCCTAATTGCCTTAATTGAACAATGCATGTGGTTCTTAAATAGATCCCATATTTTTTTAAAAAAATAAAAATAAACATTAATTAGATTAGCCTATTACTTTATTATGACGTCTGCCTACCTTTCCAGAAAATGAACCCTGACAGGTAGAGGTGGCAGGAAGTATCTTGCAGGAAGAAAGAACTGAGACAGTAGTAGGTGATACTTTGATAAACTGATCCTTCTAACTGGTTGGGTCCACTATGAAATCATTTTATGAGAATACGTATTTTCAAAATATCAAATGTGCTCATCAGCCTCAATGGAATGAACGTTTCCACCTTACTGCTATACCTAGATCTAGCACACATTGATTAGTAGAATTCAGTTCTTCTTTTTTTAATAAAACATTAATTACTTAAGCCCAGATTATCTCCAGTCTGGAAATGTTAAGAACTATTAGTGTAGATGAAAATTGATGAGGATGAAATTTGTTTCACTGTTGAAGTGGCTCTCATTCCATACTCCCAAGAATCAACAAATGATGCTTTGGAAGTTTAATTCTCTTCATCCAGATTCAAATGTCTTGGGTGATTCATCTGTAATTCAGCCTACTTGCCTCTTTCTGGCTGTTATAACCAGAGCAAAACAGCATGGAGCATTGGCTTTGAAAACTAAGAATTCTGAACTTCAGTTCTCATTTCTGGAAGAAAGCTAACTGGTGATTAAAAGCCAGGAATCCTGAATATTGAACCTACATCTCTGTGAAAGAAATAGCATTGTAGCTGAAATCCAAGCACAATGATTTACTAAGGATTTTTGTGGGTGGGGAGGGACTGGAAACCTCCATTCTGCCTCTAGCTTTCAAAAATATTTGAGGCCCCGAAATAGAGAGTTGGTGCTTGTATTATTGTTCAGTAACGCAATAATGCAAGCTTGCCTGCTTTTGCTCTTTGGAGAGGAAGGGAAGGCTTGGATTTCTTTTAGTCAAGAAAGTAACAGCAGGCTTTCCCAATAATACAATGCTATCTTTTGTTTGTGCTTTCAGTTACTGGCTCAGAATATGAGACAATGCTGACTGAAATCATGTCAATGGGCTATGAGCGAGAGCGGGTAGTAGCAGCGCTACGGGCGAGCTACAACAACCCACACCGAGCTGTGGAATACCTGCTGACGGTGAGGAGAACTACTGAATTTAGTCTACTCAATAATTTATTCTGCTGAAATGCCTGGGAGGTTTCTTCCTTTCTTCAAAGGAATCATATTTTTTGTATGCCAAACTCTTTGTTGGTTTCCCTTTCCCTCATTCCATTAGTCTACTATCTTGAGAAGTTATAGCAACACTAGTTTTTAACCAAGCGGGTCCTCTTAAAGTGTGATCAAATCAGAGGCTTCTGCTCTGCACACGATGCTTGCCAGTGTATAATGCAGGGGACAATCAAAATGTGCTGCCTGCCAAGGACTTGATTATCTAAACAGATATATGGCTTAGTTGGCCACTGGCTGAACAACAGGCTTGCATGAGTGATAGGTGTGTCTCAGAATAAATTGCTGTCAAGTAGGTAATCTTTGATTCTCTGGATATTTTGAAGTATGCCTCTTGCAAGCTTTAACAAGCGTGGCTAGGGGTCAGATGTACCTCAAAGCAACTGGAACAGGACTGTATATTCCTGTTTAACTTAGTTGTTATATCTGCATTTGTGGGATGACATTTGCACACACAATACAGTGAATCAATCTCTGTTTTTGTAAATATATCTTCTGCCACATCTAATAGGAAGCTGAAGAAAGTTCTTCTCTCCCTTCAACTAATCTCTTGTGGTGATCTCAGTGATAGCCACATATCACCAATACTGACTCTGTACTTGCTAAGAAAACAAATTTGAAAATGAGCGTTGGAGATCTTTTGTCATACAATATACAGTATTGTGAGACATTGAAGTGAATGACTTCCATGATAGCTAATGTCTCTCTGTGGATGTCTCCTTGCATATTTTTACCAGAAGTCGTTGTTTTACAAATATCTAACTGAACATACTCAGGATGGAAAGGCAAAGCAAATTTTATGCAACTGAATTCTAAAGCCACATGAACCTAACTGATCCTGTGGTCTTACATTCGTTGTTCATACAGAAAAAAATTAAGTTATCTAAGTCGTGAAAATTGAAATAGTGAAGAGTAAATGGAATTAACTGAATGCAGCACAAGCAGGTAGTAGCTGTTAATGGGTTATAATTTTAGGACAGAGAGATTTGAAAAATGAAAATGTTTTCTCTCTTCTCTGAAAGTTTTCCTGGTTTTTGAGCCAATAATAGAAACATTATACAGTGTTAGTAAATTTTCTACACCGTTTCCACCCACGGCTGATTCTGCAATTTAGAGAAGATTGCAATCTCTGCCCTTATAATTGTGTGCTCATGGCCAGTTTCCCAGCCACTCTAGACAACTTATCAATCAAACCAGTCTGGGAATAGTTTTGTAATTCTACTTTTTTCTTAACTTTGCAGGGCATACCGGGTAGTCCAGAACCTGAGAGAGCTCCCATCCAGGAGAGCCAGCCCCAAGATCAGCCTGCACCAGAAGGTGAGTTGTCTTTTTCTCATGCCCACATAGAACATTTTCTGAGTAGAAATTCTAATTAGGACATATAAGGAAATTCAAGCAGTTGGTGTGGTGGGAATAGCTGTTCACTCTAGAAGGCACAGTGGCTCATTCCTTTCTGCACAATCCTCAGACATTCTAATACCCTCTCCCTGATTGCTATCATTGTGGTTGGATGCATGGCATTAATACTCCTTGGACCTACAGGAGAGAACCCTCTGGAATTTCTGCGAGATCAGCCCCAGTTTCAGAATATGAGGCAGGTGATACAGCAGAATCCAGCTTTGCTCCCAGCTTTACTGCAGCAGTTAGGCCAAGAGAACCCTCAGCTGCTCCAGGTAACTTTCTTTGGACTTTCTTTGTTTCCCTCTTCCTGGGAACATTGCAGCAAATGTAAGCTAGTGTGAAAGGAAATTCTAGCTTTTGGAGATTCTACATAAGTCTCTTTGATTCTCAGTGGGGAGGAGGGGGTAATCGTAATAATCTAAGAGACAAAGCACATAATGTTTCCCTGCTTCATCTGCTAATCAGTGCCACATGTTCAGTTATGTTCTCAATTCTTCTTGTGGCTTTGATTATGAGAATTATACCCTATGTTGAGATGGATGTTTGTTTTGGGGGGTCATTTCATTATGTTGTTTCCAATCTTGCCTCAGTTTCTTTCTGGTTCTGAAGATTTAGCTATAGTTAGTCCTTTCTTAGTGACAATTGGGACAAGCAACTCTGTTGCTAAGTGAAATGATTGTTAAGTGAGACTTCATATGACTATCACAATTTTTTTATCTTACTTCCACTATGGTTATTAAGCTAATCACCTCAGTCATTATGTGAGATATCACATGACTGACTTGCTAGCTTCTCCATTGGCTCTGCTTGTCGAAGCTGGCTTGAAGTGTGCAAATCGCAATCACAAGTTTAGGCTACAGTCATAAGTACGAGCACCGGTCATAAACTTACTTTTCCAGTGCCATTGTAAATTTGAACAATCGCAGCAAGGGCTGCCTTGCTTGTCATTGATGAATCAGCAGTTTAATATGGCTTTTAATTATATATGGGTAGCTTGAAAAGCAGATGCAAGTTCATGATACTTGAGAAAAAAGAGGGCTAAGAATGGGAAAAGCAGATGAAGGAAGACAGATCAGCAGGGCATGTATTCCTGTGTGTTCCCTTCAGCTGTTCTATCAAAGTCCCAGCACTGGAGACAATTATGTGGGTGTGTTACATCAACATGTACTATATGTTGTGCCAGTTGCACAGATGTACTTACAGAGAGTGTTTGATAACAGTGAGCGTTCTTCCTTCGCAGCAAATTAGTCAGCATCAGGAGCAGTTCATTCAGATGCTCAACGAACCTCTGGGTGAAATGGCTGACATCGCAGACATTGAGGGAGAGATGGGTGCTATTGGGGAAGAAGCTCCCCAGATGAACTACATCCAAGTTACGCCTCAGGAAAAAGAAGCCATAGAAAGGGTAAATGTGTTGAACTAGGGAAGAAGGGGCAGTGGCAAGGAAAAAAGGACCTCAGGGTATTCTTGGTCTTTCTTGGCTTGACTTTTTCAGTAGGGGGTTTGCTTCTAAGAATTTCCTTCTTGACATAAAGAACAATTTAATAAAGGCATGCATAGCTAATTTGGGGTTGAAGGTATACTTGGACCTTTCAGTGGCATGCTAGGATTGCACTCAAAAAATAGTGAGTTAAACAAAAACTAAAAACACAATTTAAATCAAATGTAGCTGATACAGCTTGGTTGCAATTTTTAGGAACCTTTATGAATCATTCCTAGTCTCAAGGCATGCACTTCTGACAAAACAGCTAAAATAGGGATCATTCTTTTTGTTCTTTAGAGAAACATTAGTCCAACCAGTACAGAAGGGATTGAGCTTGCAATATTACTTATGGATTTTGCTCAGCATTAAAGTCTAATCACCTTCTGTTATTCTGGAGTATGGACTAGATTCTGATGATAATGACTGCGAGAATCAACTGTGTGGAATATGCTAATTGGAATGTGAGCTCTGAAATTGCAATGCTGTTGTTTTTTATTCTTATATTTCTCTAAGAAAAAATTTGAAATATGGATTTTGACCCTGCTTTTTTTCCTGTAGTGGAGATTCTTTCTGATCTGTTGTAGTTCAGTTGAATGGAGAAGGCTCCATGTCAGAATACTACATAATCATTTGCAACAGCAAGAAAAACATATTTATACTTAAAGTGCATAATTAAAATTAACATTCTGTTTTGCATAAATATGATTAATTGCATGTATGTTTTGTTCTAAAACCACTATTAGATTCTTCTTGGATTTGGAGGGATTTTTTGGAAAGAAGCTATACCTACTGGCATGAGGAGAATTGGAGAAATGGGGCTAAGCTAGCATGGCAAGAGATGAAAAATCAGTTCAGTTAAACGTTCCACATTTTCAAGAGAACTCTTAATTTAAAACAAAAGAAAAATGTGTGATGTGTGCAAAAAGCATGAGACCCTGAGATTTGTATTAAGCCTACAAATGATAATTTACATTCTTCCATTGTGTCTTTTTTTAAGAGAAATATTATGGAATGCTCTTTGCCCCTTCCTAGGGCAAAGTTACAAAAAAAGCAGGCAGTCATAAATTTACCGTATCTATGTAGAATTTCAAAAGGCAATTATGTTAATTTTTTTATTTCAATATGCTATGACAAAATTACTGACAATTGGTTCCTTGCTGAAAAAGTAGATTGTTGCCATTAGTAACATTTAACATTCTCTTTCTTTTTTTTTTGTACCTCCCCTTTCCCCCTCTCCCTTCTTCTCCCCTCTCTCAGTTAAAGGCCCTGGGCTTTCCTGAGAGTCTGGTGATCCAGGCATATTTTGCTTGTGAGAAGAATGAAAATCTGGCAGCCAACTTCCTGCTGAGTCAGAACTTTGATGACGAGTGATAAAGAAAAAGAGTTTTATATAAAATTCTCTATATAAATATTCGTTTATTTAAAGGGGCACTACTGGGTTGGGTGGTGATGGTATGATTTGAGAATGTCCCTGATGAATTGCTGGCTAGAAGAAAATACTCTACCTTGGAAATGGGGCAGTTAGGGGAAAAGCAGAACAAATGGACCTTCTGTTCTCTTCTCAAAAACAAGGGTGGCATTTGAGCCCAGCTGCATCTTACAACAATCCTTAGACTGACAGGCAAGGTGTTTAGGGAAAGGTTGACACAGCAGATGGGTGCTGTTGGACCTTCTCCCATCTCACACGATTGCATGTGTGCAAACAAATTGCTCTTTTGTTTGAAAAAATCTCCCCTTCACGCCAGTGCACATTGCTACAATGCTGAACTTATTGCCCATCAATTAATTCTGTTGCTGGTACTCTCCCCTTTGCTTTCCTTCAATGTCATTTTGAAATCAGTTTAGTTGTTCACCCCATTCAAAAGGGTGGCTTGTGTTAGGTAAGTGATATGTTTTCTGATGATCTGTTTGATATTTGTTCCTGTGCTGGAGAGGCTGTGCCAGAGTTATGGAATATCTTGTAATTCTGTGCACAAAGATCCCATGGTTTTTTTTTCCTATCCTGTATTTTTTGCCATTGTCCAATAAGGCAACTACCTACCTTCATCTATGGTTTTCTGACACTGCTCTTAAAATCATTCCCAAAGAATATCAAGGAAACAGTTTCCCTGTACTCATCCAACTTCAAACACTGTGTTTTTTTTTAAACTTTTTGTTTGTTCTTTCTCTTTTTTAAGGGCATCTCATGGTTTTAGTCTGTTCTTCAGACACCTAGCTTTGAAGTCTAGCTCCTGGGGATTGCCTGTATAACATTCATGTATACTTTTATTATCCATCATTTTAACATTAGGAATTTGGAGCCACAAACTTTAATATAGTAGGGGGAAAAAAGGATTTTACAAACCCCTGTAATAACTGAGTATCTTGAGATAGTTTGAAACACATGTTTGTTTCTCTATTTCTGTGTTGTGGGAATTTTAAAGAAGTTTTTCCTCCCTAGTATTCTGATTTTACTTGTTCAAAATATTTTTAATCTAAAGATTCCCCAAAAGAGAATCCATTAATAGTTGGGGATACAAAACTAATACAAAATAGTTGTGTATTAGATATTTGATATGTTTTCCTTTTTTAGTTTTGAAAAATGATCAAATTGACATTTTCCTGAATATTTTAATAGAAAAATATGTAAAGAAAGAGCCTGTTTTATTTATACCTTTGAAACTGGAACTGAACTCTGAGAAAAAAATTCTTGATAGCTAGGGAAATTGGCTTTAATACATAGATTGTAGATACAAAACTATAGAAACTTTAGATCATCATTTACTTTTCTGTGGGAATGTTAGTCAAAGCTGTTTCTGGTTTGAACCTCAATAAACCTGTCAGTTATCACATGTTAAATCCCCAGCTTCCTTTGATAAACTAAGCTGCCTTTCCCCACTATCCCCCTAAGAAGCCTGGGAATCCCATTCTTTCCTCTGCAGGTGCCCATTGCAAAGAGAACCAGAGTATTGCCTCTATGCCTCCAATAATAAATTCTGAAGCCATATGTTACTGCTAATTTGTGTGACATGGTTGTGTGACTATGACTGACAGTGTGCAATATATTGTTTATAAGTTTGATTTGATTTCAAAGCTGGTGGGCAGGCATGGAGGAAAGCAGAAATTTAATTCTTAAGTTTGAAAAAGTGTCCAGTGTTCACAGTATTTTTTCCCAGCCACATGCCCTCTGTATGTCTTGGACTTCATTTATTTTAGCTAGGGATTCTAGAAGTTGAAGTTTATCACATTTGGAGGGCACTGAAATGCACTTATGTAGAGTTAGGCACTCTACGTAAGGCCTAAAAGGATATAGTCTATATTGTGTGGAAAGGAAGTTATCCTGATTGTGCTGGAATTAGACCAGTTCTGCTATGTTGTTCACTGAAGAATTGTTTTTAAATAGCATCCAATGAATTAGGCTATAACCTATGAGTGCTATTTGAGGTGGAAATTTTACTTGATTAAAATTTTAGATTGCATCATGGTATCTTTGGGTACTAAAGAAATTTGAAAAGCTGCTTCTGACTTTGTATTTGGCCTAGAAATACTTTTCAAAATGGCAGTGAAAGGTGTCTGCATGCATGCTCAACCTTAACTGCTTGCTCCAGACTCTTAATTTCCAACTTCCTTATCAGCAAGCAAGAACATTCGTGCTGAATTATAGCTTTCTTCAAAGTAGATGGCTGAATATTGGAATGAGTTGATGAGAGTGTGTTGCCCCAAAGTGGGATTTGAATGCTTTATTTGTGCCTGAGAGCCTGGGATTTAAGGGAGAGCTTTCAGTAGTACTCATTGCTCCTTGTCCCTTTTCATGATGAACCAAAACAAACAAACACATCCCCCCACCCCCCAGGATAAAGTATGTAAAATCAAAAAACTGGAACACACAACTAGCAAAATATGTAGATTGGCCTTGTCCAATCTGGTACTCCAGAAATGTTGGACTATAACACTCTAATCACTTAACCAGAGTGAATATAGTGGATAGAATTTACAGACTTAACATATCTTACATATACCAGATTGGGGATGGCTGATGTACTTGCAACAAAAATTCAGGTACTAAACTCAAAATTTTTATTTGAAAGCACATGCATACCAGCATGAAATGTTTTTGATACTGAGGCCTTGATGAGAAAGAAAAACTTAACTGCTGCTTGTTTTGCTAAAGTTAGAAAGAACTGGAAATAGAAGACTTTGAAAAACAATGAAACAAAAATGTTTTGAAAAGTTTATCTGATAAGTACCAGGTAAGAGATTTCTGCCAAGGCTCTTCATAAAACGGGAAATGTTACAACTTCAGTTTGCAGGTTCTTCTTGAGTGAAAGTCCTGTTGTTTTGTTATGTTTGTCAACTTTCATTTTGGTCTAATTTGGCTTGGAGAACTCTGTCTATGCCTCCTTTCTGTCTCTGGTTGAAATGTTCTAGGCACTGTGAATGGAGTGTGAAATAAACAAGTTGTTGAGGCTGCTCAGTGGCAGGAGTGTGATGCTCCTTCAGTGAATGTGTCTGGTTCTTTATTTCTCAAGGGAATTATTTGGATGGGAAGAGTTCTCAGCAAAGCAATTCTGTTTTGGAAGAAACTGGATTTCTCAAGTTACTAAAGGTATGATAGTGTGAAATTTGTACTTCTCTATAACTTTTTAAAGCAGTTGTGTCTTTTCCTGGGTTGCATGACTGCTTTAAAGAGTTGAAAACAAGTATAACTTTCATGATCTGTTTCCTCTGAAGCACGTGTTTGAAACAGTCCAAAGCATTGCACTGCTTTGTTAGAAAGATATAGGATGGAAATTAGTGGATATTCACTCTGTATTTTGGCTGCTAACTTGCTAAATCATGCATTGCTGCCTTAGAAAGGGAATTTGCAAACCTTTGTGCAAGGGAAATTGAAGAATGAAGGATAGTGGTGTCACACATCATGCTACTATGGTTTACTTGGTTTTTTTAAAAGTAACTGTCTTCACACAAAATTCTAAACCTCAAACTTTTTAAATGGAGCCAATTCACGGTTCCTCAGACTGTTGAGGGGCTGGACTATAGTTTGAAAAAAACATGAACAAATTCCTATGCACACTGCACATACCTTATTTGTAGTGCAAAAAAACCATGAAACAATATAATTTCTCTGTCTCTGTTTCTCTCTGTCTCTCTGTGTCTCTTGTCTCTCTGTCTCTGTCTCTCTCTGTGTCTATTTCTGTTTGTGTGTCTCTCTTTGTCTCTGTCTCTTTTTTCTCTTTCCCTTTCCCTTTCTCTTTATCTCTGACTGTTCTCTCTCTCTCTCTCTCTTTCTCTGTCTCTTGTCTCTCTCTGATTCTGATTCTGATTCTCTGACACCTCATCTCTAGCTGGGTCTTGCTGCCACACTGCAGCAGGAAAGAGTGGGCGGCTACTTCCAGCCTTTGTTGGTGCTGGACGTGCCTTGGTTGCTCGGGGAGACACGCAACCTGCTCTCTGCCCTGAGACACTGGCTCGATCTGCGCTGCAGCCGATGCCGCTGCTATTACCAGGGGAAGTGGGGTAGGGTCACATTGTGGCTTTGTGTTGTGATGGGCTCCAAGAGGAAGGGGATTCCCCATCTCCCCCATTGTTAAGCGCACTAAATTTCACTGTGCTGTGCAAGGCGCTGCGAGAGTAGCAGGCAGGCCATGGAGGTGGCAACAGCAGCAGCAGCAGCTGCGACCGGGTCAGGCCAATGTCTCAGGGCAGAGAGCAGGTCGCGCATCTCCCCAAGCAACCGAGGCGCACCCAGCACCAACAAGGGCTAGAAGCAGCTCCCGTCAGACTCGGCAAGAGATGAGGTGGTGGAGAATCATCCCTGGCCACTTCTCTCTGCTGCAGTGCTTTCCGGATGTGGCTTGCAGCTCGGAGCCCAAAAGCGGTGGGAGGCAAGGGCTGCCTTGAGCGCAAATGTACCCTGATGAAGGTGGAATGCTGTTGCCGTGCAAAGGCAAGTACAGGGGTGCTTTGCTCCCACACTAAAGCTCCGGCCATCACCACTGCCGCTTCAGCCCACCTGTGCCACCCTACCTTGCCGCAACAGTGCCATTACCTCACTCTGGCTGGCACGGGCTGCGCTACTCTTTGCACCACTTCTTGTACCACCCTCTACAGCAGAGATCTCTAGCCTCACCACGAGCTGCCCAGCAGCTCCCCAGCAGGCAGGTGCACCCGGATGAAGGAGCTGCTCCCGCACGATCAATGGGCCAGTCCTGTGACTAGAACTCTGGAGTCTGGAACCGACTTCCCCACTGACGTCAGCAGGCCACTGTCAGTCTGCCTGTCTTTTTTTTGCCTTCACTCAAATCGACCACAAAGCTGCTCCAAAACATGAGGAGAAGGACCCCAAAAAAGGTTCCTGGAAGGCTATGTGCCCGGATCAGGCACTTTTTCTGGGCTTCCCGCCTGGAGGCCGCATAGAAGCCGAGAGCTGGACCCAAAAGGCGGTGAGCCTCGCCGTGTGTCCTCCACCTGGTTCTGAATGACACACGGGCCAGATAAATTGCTTTGGCGGGCCATATCCCGGAGGCCATAGTTTGAGGACCCCTGCTCTAAACCATGAGCCACAGTTTACACACACAATAGATGGATTCACTTAATATCTTAATCCAAAGGTAGCCAACTCAATTATGGCTCAATTTGATGTGTGATCTCAGCTACATTTATTGCCTTGAGTCATACAGATAGTTCTTGACTTGTGAGCAGAACTGGGACCAGAATTCCTGTCAATAAGTGATGTGGTCATTAAGTGACTTGTGCTCAATTTTTTTACCTTTTCTGCTGTGATCATTAAGTGAATCACGTTAACTAAATCCAACTTCCCCCATTGACTCTGCTTGTCAAAAAGCCCCGTGGGAAGGTTCCAAATGGTGATCACGTGGCCCTGCAATGTTGCAATCATGATACATACATGCCAGTTGTTGAATTTTGATCAGGTGACTGCAGGGATGTTGTGATGGTAATGTGTGAGGACCAGTCATAAGTCACTTCAGTGTTATCACTTCAAATGGTTGTAAGTTGAGGACTACCTATATAGTAAAATTAAGGATTCAGTTTGTGTCCAATTTTTAGTAGCTGACAATTCTGCCTATCCAGAACTATAAAGTACTCATCTTTTATTCTCTACAGACAGGAAGAAAAAGCTTGGCTCATCTGATATAATGTTCCCTGCTTGATAGCAATTTTCAATCACATTGGTGGTTATTTGCTGCATAATGGTCTCTTTTGGTCAGTACCACCTGGGGCCTTTGCTCAATTACACAAAGATTGCTCTTGTCAGGCTGGATGCCTCTCTCTTCTTACAGGCTTTTGATGTCCTGAGTATCTCATGTGTAGAACTGGCTCAGTAAAATGGGTGCTATCAGTGCCCAGATAATTTTGGCTGAGAGCTGGATTCTCAAATTGGGTGGCCTGTCCAAGCAAGATTATGATTAATGGCAGGTGTCCTCTGAATAGTAATTCAAATCTGACTTGCTCATTTTTGCTCACTGCCTGCTGACTGTGTAGCAAAGGGAGGAAGCATGTTTGCATTTGTATGGGCAAACACACAAATTTATCAGCTGTCTTTTGGCTGCCTCTTCCCAAATTGGCTAATTACATGAGATTAACACTCAGAAACAGCAGTTCCCTCTCTTCTAGCACCATCTGCTCTCCTGTATGAGACCTGTTATTATTTGCCAATGTCTGGATTCTGTTTAATTTGACCCTGGCTATAGCTTTAAGGTATAGGAATAAGAGTACCATCTACATAGAGAGGCAAAGGCTTGGAACTTTATTGAAAGGAGGTTCAAATGGAAGGAACTGTTTATGGGAAAGGATATAATGTAGGAATGTATATATGGTATATATTTAAAAAGTAGTGTTGGTTTTCAAAGTTGAAAACCTGCGCACTTAATGAAGCTACTACAATACTTGACTATTTTTGTCTCCAACAGCTTCTTCAATCTTACCTGTTTTCTTCTTATTGGCTTGTCTATTATGGAGAGGTTTCCCCCCCAGTAAATCCTATGTAGGAATGATCCAAAGGTGAAAGTTGAAGAAATTCATATGAAATGCTTTTGAAAAATGGTTACATGGTTAGGGATAACTTGTTAGAAAATGGACAATATACAGGGTTTAGATTTAATCCATTATTCAAGTCATAAGATTAGAACATATTTTTAAATCATTGTAGTGGGGCATGGATACGGAATATAAGCACTGAGTGTGCCATGTTGATATCTGTTCTATTTAAGAACATATTTGCTGATGATAAGCTGTTTGATGTAGAATACTAAAAAAAACCCTCACAGGAAAAGTTGATGGGCATGGTAAAATCAGCAAATGTCTTAAAACAGGGCTGTCAAATTCCTGGTCCGTGGGCCGGATGCGTCACATGCTGGCCACACCCACACCTGTTTAGTGAAGGGGAAAAAAGTTCTGATACATCACGTGATGATGACATGAGTTTGACACCCCTGTCCTAAAATGCTCCTTTTCCTTTCCATGTGAAATTAGCATAGCTATAATTTAAAGGAATGACCTGAAACACAATCACATTAAGACTCCCTGATGCTGCATAATTAATTTAAAAGCATTGCCTACTGAGAGTGAGGTACATTAATGGCATGTATCACCTTGCACTAATATTATCATTCTTTACCTGTGTGATCCCTTGCCCTGTTTGGTGTTCTATGGATAGATTTGATGCTGATGATTTGGGAGTTGTGTAGCTAACTACACAACCACAGCACTCCAAATTGGCAAAAGCTGATTTAGGGCACGAAGCCCTAAATTATCATTGAGGTAATGATAATGAAATTCTCATGAATTTAAAGTGGAGGATGTAAAATAAAGAAGCATGGTGATTTGTGGATTCAGCCTGAGAAAAGTGTAAAAGGATATGGGGCTCTTCAAGAAATGGTGACTCAAAACCTCTAGGCTGCTCTCTGTAGATGTGTAAGGTGATTTGAGCAAAGAAAATTGCAGAAATAAAATTGAATTGCCTTGAACTGGAAAGTTTGGTTAGCATTTTTAAGTGCCTAAACTACTTGAAAAAGGAGTTTTCCTAAGATCAGCTGTAGAGAGTCTCAAGGCTGAACTGAAGCCTTCTGAAAAGGATAAGAATTTTCCTGCCCTCGTGGAATCTGCTTGCAACAACTCAGGTAGCTCTTAGCTAGATCTGAATTAGCTGTGTTCCAATGTTTTTTTTTCCTGTGAGAGATAGCCCTTTTCACAGAAGGATATTGTTTTTCTGAATCTATTTTGTCCCTTCCCAATCCCAGTTTAGGCTGTCCATTTCCCTCAGGGCTTAAAGCTTTGTTGGCAAGTCACTAGATAGCGGCAAAGGAGAGTGACTTGCCACAGTTTCCCCAGGGGCGGATGGCAGAAGACAGGTCTCTGGAATATTGTTGCTGGGGCTTTGCATTGCAGTTGCTAAGGAACCTCCTCTTGAGGCATCACTGGGCTGGCAGTGGAAAGGCCAGATTGCTGCTATGAGATGAAACAACAGCTCTTGGCTTTT